CATCAGCAATACAGGGCTATGTCCTGTGGCTTTAATTGGGGTCGCCCTGTAGGCTAGGAGGACCAAGTAAGATTTTGGTTGCTTCAAAACAAACTTGGTTGTTTAAACCGCTCTCTCAGCCATTCCATTGGCCTGTGTGTAATGTGGACAGTAAGTAGAGTAAAGGAAATCATACTCTCTACTGAAAAATCTAAACTCCATGGGAGTAAAGTGCATCCCATTGTTGCTCGCCAACTCCAATGGTATACCCCATCTGGCAAACATGTTATTAAGTCAGGTGATGACAGCCATGCTGGCTGCCTCACCTAAGGGTGCAATTTCAAGATACCTGGAATAGTAGTCTACAACAGCCAGATATTTCTTTGAATTGAGTTCACACAGCTATTTTTCATAGGAGTTCTCTCATCTGTGTAGGCTGACGTTCATGGCAAAAGGCACATCTTGATATGTATTCTGCAAAGTTAGTGCTGATTCCAGGCCACCACACCGCCATGGCTGCTCTTTCTCTACACTTTTCCCAAATGGCTGACATGAATTTGACTTAACATTTCTTGCCGCATACTGGCACGTATGACAGTACGGTCCTGAAACATCACTAAACCATCCAGTTCTGTGACATGCGCTCTCTGCGACTGGTAAAAACAATATAAAATAAAATAATCCAAGAAAAAAAGCAGTGCTTTTTTTTTCTTCTTGGATTATTTTATTTTATATTGTTCCTAACATTACACTTTTGTGGCTTTGAATACCAGGAGGTCCCTGAGGAAGTCCTTAGAGGACAAAACACGTAGGACCTGGTATCATATTAATTTTACTGTGTTTTTATACTGTTTTACAATAAAGCAGAATTTTTTTCCACCTATCCTGAGTCCAGTTCCAGTATCATTGGAGAAAGAGGAGTGGATTTGGCCTCCATTTATCGGGGGAGGCACCCTCCGGCAAGCTATTTGCATCCTTCTTGTGAGTTTTACCTGTTATAGCGCACATACATATTTATATACAGTATCACACTATTATTTGTTTTTTATGTTGTAGATTTACAGCTGTATTCTCCATATTGTTTGCATCTACTTGATATTTAAGGGGTAATTGATGGGATATCCCTGGAGGAAGCTGTTACCACTGTCTATTAAGATAAGTGTTTGTTTTCACCACCCATTCATTTTGTCTGGTGTGAGTGACCATACTTGTTTTTCTTTGTATATTTCTCCCAGGCCTAACTGATAGCATTTGCACAAACCACTGTCTTTTTAGAAAGGTCATAAAACGCCAGCACAGTGGCAGAGCCCAACATTGATTAGACCAGTGCAAAGGCCTCTTCCTGTGGGTTCCCCAGGTCCAAGCAACATTCTTCTTTAACAATTCTGTAATAAGATGTAACTCTGAGGATGATTCTGGTAGAAATGTGTCCCAATAATTCACAAGGCCCAGTTTTTGTCTTAGTTCAATTACATCAGAAGGGCTTTTCATTTTCTCAGTAGTGACAACTTTACTGGCATCTGGCTTAATGCCATCTCCGCTAATAATATGACCAAGGTAGCACAGTGCCATATTCCCAAAGTGACATTTATCTTTGTTCAGTCCTGATGCTCCTACTATCTGTAGTACACAATGTAGTCACTGATCATGCTCTTCTTGAGTGGACTCATACACTACGATGTCTTCCATGACTACTACAGTGCTCTCATGGAACTCATAAGAGGGAACTCATCTTTTTTCGAAAGATCTTTTTTGGACATAGTTACTGACCACTTTGTTGCTAGTTTAATTTAGAAAGACTGAAATGTGTCCACAGATAAACAGGTAAATAGAGTGTCAAAAATATTAGTATTACTTCTTTCTTAAAGGACCACATACTCGTTTTCCTGGCACTATAGTGCCCTGAGGGTGCCCCCACCCTCAGGGACCCCCTCCCGCCCGGCTCTGGAAGGGGGAAAGGGGTAAAAACTTACCTTTTTCCAGCGCTGGGCGGGGAGCTCTCCTCCTACGATCCTCCTTCTCCCCTCCCCGTCGGCTGAATGCGCACGCGCGGCAAGAGCTGCGCGCGCATTCAGCCGGTCACATAGGAAAGCATTATCAATGCTTTCCTATGGACGCTTGCGTGCTCTCACTGTGAAAATCACAGTGAGAAGCACGCAAGCGCCTCTAGTGGCTGTCAATGAGACAGCCACTAGAGAAAATAGGGGAATGCTTAACCCATTCATAAACATACCAGTTTCTCTGAATGGGTTAAGCCTAGCTGGACCTGGCACCCAGACCACTTTATTAAGCTGAAGTGGTCTGGGTGCCTAGAGTGGTCCTTTAATTAAACCGGTGTGGATAATATTCAGTTATTCTGGTTGAACTGTGGATATCAGACTTTATCAGTTAGTTTTTTCTGATATCTTTACCCTAAGGCTATTTTTAGATTAAATTATTTAGTCTAAATTTGATCTTTGTTCAACAAGTGCATGTCATGGCTGCACTTACTTGTAGGTCCCTCGCCACGTCTCCGCCCGCGGCTGCGGCAGTCTCATCTCAGTACACGCCGAAGACTCCAGCGTACCCAGCAGCGGGTGCAGTTAGCCGGCATCCCTGCAACACGTAGACGCAGTACCGTGGCTCTCGTAGGAAGCCCCAGCTGAAACCATGTGTAATTCCACTTTCACTGTGCGCACCTGAAAGCCGGCCCCTTAAAAGGACAGTACACCTGAAATAGTTTAAAGGACTAATTATTTTTTAACCAATAGTATGTGAGAGGTGGATACCTCTCCCCTATATAATCTTGGTCTACCTCTACCTCATTGCTCAGTTATACTTTGCTTACTGTGGTGTTAACTTCAGTGTGCCTATCCTGCCTTGTTTGATTTATCTGGTATCTGACTCTCTGCCTGTTTAATTGTCTCTGAACTCGTGCCGCCTGACCTGACTCCTAGCTTTCCTTGACTACAACTTTGGTAATCCATGATTCCTGCCTCCTGTCAAATATGTAACAGACGCAACAGTGCTCTACGGATGTTTTTTATGAGATTTGTAATAACAGTTACATTTTAGATTCTAAACACAATTGGGTTGGATATTTCTTTAGCTCTTTATTTCTTGTATTCTAGTAATTGAGGTTCATGCCCTTTATTCCACTCCTAAATATTTTCTCCCTCTAAATCTTTTTGTTAGCTTTCTCTATTTAATTATTGGAGATCAATGAGGAAAAAAATTAGGTAGTGGCACACCTGGGAGGGTCTCAAACACACGGACAAGGGCACATTGAAGATATATCTAGATGAAGGGAGGCAAAAAAGCTTGCCTAGAACTAAATGTCCCAGTTACCAGGCAATAGGAATTCCACATCCCTGTGCAGTTTGTGCAATACAACTCATAGTAATGACTTTGACTGGATGGCCAAGCTCTGTAGCAATACAATTTACAGTAATGTGCAGTCTGTAGCATGTGTCCGCTGGAGGGGCTCTCTGATACCCTTACAGAAATACCCGCAACCCCCTCCATACATACTCACATATGGTCCCAAACACAGATACACACTGACAGAAATGAATTGCAAGCACAGTCATGGGATACACACACAGTGAGACACAATGACAGACTGGCACACACACGCACATATACTATCACTACATACACAAACAATTACACTGCTAAACATTCAACTAGACACACACTGATGTTATTATAGCCACCCTCTTTTTCTGCCTAACATTTAGCAGTAGAAGAGTGTTCATTGGGGATTTTTTTATATTTGTAAAGGGCTTTAGGCAGCTGCTGCTGTTGCTGAGGATCACAGCATAGTTTTAGACACATTTGCACAAATTCCCACTGTGAGACAAAAATGCATAGATTCATAATGTAAGCACAGACACAGACGCACACCGACTTTCAGATATATTTGAACAAACACAAGTTACCAAACAGACACATACACGGTGAAATGCACAAACAGCCACAATCACCCACTCACACGCAAAGGATTTTTATTAATAGTATTTTGTTTTTCTAAGTACACCCAGTCTTCCTCTGGGGGAGCTGGATTGGATCCTCTCCTTTTGGCCCACTGGAGAGCTGCTTTCTTCTCATGCATTGCCTAATATAGGTCAGAGCTCCCTCGCCCTCCCAACCCCCATTTGGGAACAGTGTGCACCTGCCATTCTGCCTTAGAGCAGGGCAGTTTTAGCACCGTATAGCGCCAGCGCTGACCTGGGGAGAAAATGGCTGATGATTTCTACTCAAAGTATGTTTTTTTGCAATTACCTACAGTAAAGGTGGGGCCATCTCTGCTTGCCCGAGAAGGGGTTTAATGAAAAACAAAACAAACAAAAAACTGCTGTACCCGCCTAGAGCCTGGAACTGCTTTTTCCCAAAGTTATAGCACCCTACATTTTTTTTTTACTGTTACCCTGTTTTTCCCTCTGTTAGTTATTTTTTCTCATTTGATCTGTGAAGAAAATGGTGGGAAAAGGCTCCTATCAGATTACTGCAAGGAACACTCCAGGCACCATAACAACTTTATTGTTAATTTTATTTTATTGTTTTTATTTTATTGTTATTGTTATTAATTCTCAACTTTTCACTTAACCTGCATGGAAACTGAAAATATATGGAATGTGATGGCCATGAGAGGCAAGAGGAGAGATAGGGTTAATACAGTCATTGTAGACAGGCCAATATTGACATTTTAGGGGCTAGTTGGAAAATGGATTACTAGTCTAATTTAATGTGCTCAGAAGGGCCCTGTGATATAGTTTGGAGCAGTCTGTGCATCAAGTTATGAAGTTGTTACATTGTATTTACAAACATTGTATAGAAAATATGAACAGTGGCTTGTTCCTGCCATATGGAATAAGATTATCTTGAGGGGTTAACATGAAAAAAGATCAAAGTCCATGTTCCTTTCAGTATCCTCTCAAGATGTAATTCCATCTCTTGTGAATGTGTCAGTATGTAAGTGGGTGTCAGGTGATTCTTGTACAGGGAGTGAGGGCTTTAGGACCGCAGCGCTGCAGTGAGCAGTTAGGGTGGATGCTTGCAGAAGAAAGGAGGAGGCGAATGTGTGACCCGGGAGGAGGATAGGGCGAAGAGAGAGAGCAATGCTAAATCAAGGGTACAGTTAGGAAACACAGACACCCAGGGAAGGGATATTGGAAGGAGGTGTGTGTGCTTGTGACACATTAGGGGCAATCCAAGAAGGACCAGGCTGTTTCTCTTCACCCAGGTATCTCACAGCAGGTCGCACCAATGAACATGTCAGTGTTGACTTTGCAAGAATACGAATTCGAGAAGCAATTTAACGAGAATGAAGCCATCCAGTGGATGCAAGAAAACTGGTAGGTGCTCTCTCCTACATAAGCTTAGTGTATTTATTTTATTGTGTGCTTGGGCTTCGTGGTGGTTGAAGAGATCTCATATATACATACAAATGCCTCCTGTAGGAGTGACATGCAGTGTGATGTGCATCCACCTCCCACCCCCCATTCATTGCACGCCTGGAGAGATTACACCCTGTATGCACATAGAGCGTTACCCTGGGAGATATTACCCTGTATCCACATAGAACGTTACCCTGGGAGATATTACCCTGTATCCACGTAGAACGTTGCCCTGGGAGATATTACCCTGTATCCTTTTAGAACGTTGCAGTGGGAAATATCTTCACCCTGTATCATTTTAGAACGTTGCCCCGGAAAAGCCAAGATTGAGCAAATCCACTAGGATGTATCACTGGCTATATGCATAAAATGCATGCTCTCCCGTTGTGGCAGTGAAAGGGTGAAGCTCTGAAATGGGGGCCCTAGCCTAGCCAATGAATGAAAGCACTATGTACATCAGCACTCTTGCTTTAAGGCAGCCGGCTGTAGATCATGTTATTCATTTCTCTTTATGAGTATTGAATGTAAGTGTGGCTGCTTGCAGTGAGCAGTCAGTTAACATGCCATGCTGCCTGTGGCTGAGTACCACAATACATCTGTGAGCAGAGGATTTCAGGGCCAGGATAAAGAGACATATGTAAATTGTCTGCTCAGGCCCTGAGTTGTCCTAAGCCAGCTATTAGCCATTTTAATGCTTGGAAAGCCGTCAGATAATGAAAGAAGAATATCACTGCTCACATTGACAGGGATGTTTTGCATAGTAGGCCCACATGAGCAAGTGGTCTTCATATTTTATGTTTGGAAGAGGCTGGCCATATAAATGGTTGCTTTATGGCTGAGCTCGTGGACAATACATTACCTTCCAGTGTTCTCAATTTTGTGTTTTTCGTAATTGATGCAGATTATATGAAATTAGCAATAACTGGGGTTAGGCTCTGGCCTGCTACATGTGGCATCTGAAGGTACAATAAAGTTTAACAATGAAGTTATGTTTCAGTCATTTTAGACTGTGAACTCATTGCGCTGAACCCGCTTTACCGATCCACAGCTCCTTAGAATATGCTAGTATTGTATGAATTATAATCATCAGTAGAAAAATATATCTTGTGACAAAGCAGGATATAACTTAAAGGGACACTATAGTCACCTGAACAACTTTAGCTTAATGAAGCAGTTTTGGTGTATAGAGCATGCCCCTGCAGCCTCACTGCTCAATCCTCTGCCATTTAGGAGTTAAATCACTTTGTTTATGAACCCTAGTCACACCTCCTTGCATGTGACTTGCACAGCCTTCCATAAATACTTCCTGTAAAGAGAGCCCTATTTGGGCTTTCTTTATTGCAAGTTCTGTTTAATTAATATTTTCTTATCCCCTGCTATGTTAATAGCTTGCTAGACCCTGCAAGAGCCTCCTGTATGTGATTAAAGTTCAATTTAGAGATTGAGATACAATTATTTAAGGTAAATTACATCTGTTTGAAAGTGAAACCAGTTTTTTTTTCATGCAGGCTCTGTCAATCGTAGCCCGGGGAGGTGTGGCTAGGGCTGCATAAACAGAAACAAAGTGATTTAACAACTAAATCACAGTGCACTGAGCAGTGAAATTGGAGGGGAATGATCTATACACTAAAACTGCTTTATTTAGCTAAAGTAATTTAGGTGACTATAGTGTTCAGTTAAAGTATTCAATACTGAGGTAAAATGAGGTAAGACATATTCATACAAATCTCCATAGAATTACTTTAAGCTGTGTAGATGTAGCTTGTGGATATCAGAATGGCAAAATGTGGGCTAAAATAGCTATTCCAAAAAAAAAAAATCTCTCAAAGCAGCTATAACAAATAATTTGGAAATTTTAGCCTAAAGTTTGCCATTCAGATTTAAATTTTCTACAAGTTAATACTTCAATAACTTGGTTTGAGTGCCATAGCAATGTGTAAAATAATGTATTACTTCCAAATGTGGTAATATGTTTAACTTTTATCTTATCTGACAGCATGCATAGTTAAAGGATATTTGCTGAATTGCAAGATCTGTTAGTTAAAAGGCCTTATGAGATTTGATTATTTAATTGTACTTTTCCCAACACAGTCACATAAATCTAAAATGCAGTAGGTTAATTGCGTTACATAACCCTGAGACAATGTTTTGCTGCACTTTTTGAAACAGGATGTGTAATAGCAGTTTGACTGATGCCCTTATACAGCAGTTCAAAGAACATGTTTTAAAACTAATCTACTTGATCCTTTAGATCATGGAGGAGAGATTTAGTTGCATCTATGTATTATTATTATTATTATAATGTATGAAGCGTCAACAAATTCTGCAGCGCTGTACAATAAGTGAACTTACAAACAAGTAGTTGCAACAAGACAAATCGGACGTACAGAAACACAAGGTGCTGATTGAGAGCCCTACTAAAACGTGCTTTCATTCTAAGGGATGATCCTTTATTCAGAAGTCTTTATAATGCCATATAATCAAATTAAAAAGCTTTGGGAAATTGAGATTTAATTTAGATGAACTCTGCATACCCACTCTCATTTTCACATTTATTGCATTTTTTTGGCAGGAGATGGCAGTAGGCGAGAACTTGCTTATCACACTATGGTATTCAATAAAACTGAGAAGTTTGAAATGTTCTGAATTCTGCTTAAAAAGTGGGCAGATAATTTATTCTGCACAGGCAGTCACGTGATCAGCATGGATAGGAAGCAAGGTTTAGTGGAAAATGATTTACTTTATCTTACACAATTAATGAGCACATAGTTTAAAATAAAGCTTAAAGGACCACTATAGTGCCAGGAAAACAAACTAGTTTTCCTGGCACTATAGGGTCATTAGGTCCCTCCCACCCTCAGGGCCCCCCTCCCGCTGGGCTAAAGGGGTTAAAACCCCTTCAGCTACTTACCTTTCTCCAGCGCCGGGCTCCCTCTGTGCTGGGGAACTCTCCAACCCCTGCCAACGTCTGATCTGAATGCGCATGCGCGGCAAGAGCCACGGGAGCATTCAAACCGCACATAGGAAAGCATTACTCAATGCTTTCCTATGGACGTCCAGCGTCTTCCCACTGTGATTTTCACAGTGAGAATCGCGGAAGCGCCTCTAGCGGCTGTCAGTGAGACAGCCACTAGAGGCTGGATTAATCCTCAGTGACCCTAAGCTGCAGGGTTAAAACTAGAGGGACCTGGCACCCAGACCACTTCATTGAGCTGAAGTGGTCTGGGTGCCTATAGTGGTCCTTTAACCCCTTAAGGACAAAAATTCTGGAATAAAATGGAATCATAACATGTCACACATGCCATGTGTTCTTAAGGGGTTAAGAACATAAGACCACACCTAGCAGGGACAGAGCCTGTGAGCACTTGTGTTACTAGCAATTCTCATAAAGGAACTATGAAAAATGTTTTCTTTATTTTTTTGTTTCTCGTAAAAGGGACCTGTTAGTTCTCCAGAAATGCACTATTAAATAAAACATTGAAAAACACCTGTAGCTTGTGTTAACACATTTGTGATGATCCTCTTTCTTTAACAGTATATATTGTTTTTATTTTTATTTTTTTAATATCAAATAGGTATCGTCTCACATCTTGTCTGGGGGCCATGCCAATCTCTGGCTTATCATAGATACCTTTCTCATCCTGTTGTGTGTGTGTGTGTGTGTAAGGGGTGCTGTGTGTGTGTGGGAATGCTGTGTGTTTGTGTTGGGGGGGGGGTGTTGTGTGTGAGGAATGCTGTGTTTGTGTGTGTGAGTGAGAGGTGCAGAGAGCAAATGTTTTTTTAAATAAAAAAATAATAATAATATTAAATATCCATTTTTAAAATCTTTATGTCCCCCCCACCCTATTTCTTACCTTTGGGGAAGGTGGGGAACGACGACACTGCCAGCCCTGGTGAGTAGAGATCTATAGCCTGCAGCTCCTCTGGCTGCAGGCTATCTTCGCTCCTGCGAGCAGAATGCTGTGTGGAGCGTTGCCGTGGTAACACGCAGCAACGCTCCACACAGCATGCTCATGGGAGGAGTGATTTCCCATGGTCCCTCCTGCCCTCTCTCTCCCACTAACGAAGGGCCTCTAGGCCGGTGAGGGAGATCTTTGAGGGCCCATGGGAAGAAAACGGGCCGGCAGGGGAGATCAAAGGATCTCCACTGTCGGTGGCGGTGCAACTCAGCTCATTTCGGGACACTACATTGACCCGGAATGAGGGTGCCTGGGACCCGGGACAGACTCTCAAAATGCGAGACTGTCCTGGGCGATCCAGGACACATGGGCACCCTAGTTAAGGCCTGGCACAGCCAGGGCACACATTGCTTTGTAGGACAAGATTTTCCATTGTGATAGTTCTGTTGGTTTATATATTGCACGTAAACAGAGCAAACCCTACAAAAGTATGTATAGAAAAAGGTGTTTTAAATTAATGAATAAGCCATTTCTCTATGGGCTAACACAGAGTTTGGCTTATAAGAGCCATCTGTAGTGGTTGTGGTGCCTAGAGTATCCTAACACCCTCCAGGGTAAGTAGTCAAAACATTTTGTGCCTGCACAACCTCTTTAGACGCCAGAAACTGCAGTACTGAGCTAAACTCAGCAGTACATGGTTTAGCTCATTGTCTGAGAGTGTTCAGATGCTCTCAGCCAATGAGCGGCTTGGCATATTGGAGCTAACAGAAGCTCCTAGCGCACTCCAGGCAATCCTGGCACCATAACCTTTACAACTGGCTTAGTGGTTACGTTGTTTGTAGGATTCTTATAAGCTTTTGCAGAGGCATCCAACAATGTTGATTAGTTTATCCTGAGTTAAGTTCCGGAAGGAGACCTCAATTGAAATTGCCACAGTTGATGCACTTTTCAACCTGAAAAACCAGGGAAGTCATCACTTCTACCACTTTCCCTGAGCTGATTCCAGTTGCTGTGATTGGAGTTTGATACTTCTAAATTATCAACATTAAGTTTTCTTTAGAAGAGAATATGCTTGGTATAAATACTGTTGGTACAGCTGTGCAATGGCAGTTGTTGTTATAGGGAATGATCTTAGCAATAAAGAAGTTAGCACTGCTTAGTAGTGGATCATTTACTTTTTGGCAAAAATCACAAACCGAA